CCAAACACTTGGGCCATCCTCCACTGCCCTCCCAGGCCACAGCAGAGAGCCGGACTGGAAGAGGAGCAACTGAGACTAGAATCTGGCACCCATATGGGATGCCTGCGCCGCAGGCGGAGGATTAACCAAGTGAGCCATGGCGCCGGCCCCGGAACTTGATTTTTCAATCCAATCAGCTAGTCTGTATCTTCAAGTTTGGGAAGTTAGTCCACTTACTTCAAAGTTATTAATTATTAATAAAAAGCATGAAACTATTGAGGTATCGAGGGTGCCTTGAGGATAAAGCAAGTTCATGAATTCAAAAATACCCTGTAGCGTGCTTTATACATTAAAAAAGACTTTTATTCTCATCATTTTGAACCTGGAATTTTTTATTAAAAGCAAACTTGCTTCAAATTACCAGATATTTAATCAAGGTGTCTCATCTCTATGGAAGGAACTAAATGTCACCATGATGAAGCCTGGTCATTTGTTACCCACATTTAAGTGTATTGCATGAGGACAGTCTTGTGTGGTTGGTGGGATTAGAGGAGCTTGTTTGTATTATAGCCCCAATAATCCATAATATCTAAAGGAATGGGTCTCCTTTGATTATTAAAAAAGAGGCATTGGGGCAGGGGAACCCCAGGCTGTCACCTTTCTGGGCCAGGGTGTTGATTTTATTGATTTTGCTGTTGTTGTCTTAGGTAGATAGGATTAGCTTGTTGGTTTTCTTTTCTTTTGTTGTCTTTGCATTTCCCTACATTTACATATTATAGTCTTCAATTAAAAAAATCTGCAAACAGACTTGAATGTGAAAAATCATCCAAAGCCTCCATCAATACTATTTCTGACAGTGGGCCTCACATCACCTGCTCGAACATCTGCATTGATGAGAACCTCACCAATTTTGTCATCTCTTTCCATTTCATAACACGTAATCAAACGATCTATAAGGTTTAATGACAAAAAAAAAAAAAAGAAACTGGCAAATTCTCACTATGCTAGAAATGACTGAAACCAGAACGTCTATGGAGAATGACCTTAAATGGGGAAGAGGAGTTGGAAGATTTTGCCAGAGAGGAAGACCAAAAAAGCACTATCATTTAAAAAAGAAAAATGGATTCCAAAGGGCAAAGGAAGAAATGCTGAAAACAAACAAGCTTATGAATGCATTAAATTCTATATTCACAGGCTACATCCTTCACTGTTATCCTAAATTTAAATGCAGAAGAGAGAGAAACTAGAAAACTAGAATCTCCTAATATACCCCAGCAATACTGAACCTTCCTATCAGTTTCAGAGCTCAGAGCTCGGTTCAAAAATTGTGTCTTTGAGGGCACAGCTGTTCACATTTATCTGAAAACTACTTGTTTTACTAATTGTTCTAGTTGATGCTAAAATAACAACAGAGAATTACGGTGCTAAGCTTCAATGTAGATTATACAATTTGATTTTTGTATGGAAAGCTTATGTCTAAAAGTATTTATAATCACTGAGCAAAAGCAATCAAATGGATTCCAAAAAGACACATTTTTATACAAATAACATCAAATAATTAAAATATGCAATATTAAAAAGATCACTGGCTCTATTATTTGAAAACAGTCACAGTTGGATTTTAAAAGACCGTATTTTTCATTCTTCTTTATAAGGGAAATACATTGTACAAACAAATTAGATAAATGTTCACTTTTTAACTTTTTCATGTTAATGTGATATTAATAAAAATAGAACAGATTCAATGGCAGTCATAGATATGATTCTAAGAATATAATATATTTTTCTTTTTCTTTTTTAAATTTTCAGATAACATATTTTAATTTCTCATTATAGTCAAACACTTAATGAGTTTAAGATGGAAAAAGATGCTATTTCAGCTGAAATATAGGCAAAGTCTATAAATAATAACCAAATGAAAAGGTAACTTTTCTCTCTTGTACAGATTTTAAAACAATCACAGATCATTATAACTCTTGTAATATATCATTCTTAAATTTTACTGGACAGAGTCTTTGTAGACATCTGTCCTAATAAAGATAGATTTTTCATGTACATAAGTCAAATTTTACTCTGTAATAAGGAGTGGAAAGTAGGGAGTAGGGAATTAAATGTTATTTAGTAAAAGTGACTTCATAAATCCTGAATTATAGACTTTTCTTGTGATTATTTATTTATTTTCATTTTATTTGAAAGTCAGAGACATAGAGACACAGAGACAGATATCCATTGTCTTCCCCAAATGCCTCCAATAGCCAGGAATAGACCAGACTGAAATCAGGAACCTGGAGCTCAATCTGAGTCCCCCAGGTGGTGGTAGGGACACAAGCACTGGGACCTCATCTGATGCCTCCCAGGGAGCACATCAGCAGGAAGATGGATTGGAAGCAGAAGAGCTGGGACTTGAACTAGGCACTCCCATAAGGGATGTGTGTATCTCAAACAGCAACTTACCTGTTGTGCCAAACACCTATCCCTAGACTTTACTTTTCATAGGAGATAACTCAGAGATAATAGAGCTGGATAGGAAAGAAATGAAGGCAGAAGCCACCACCACCAAAAACAGCAAAAAGCCTTTTACCAATATTTAGTTCTTAGTGAGTAGAAGAGAAACACTGATTGCCCTTGAAAATCCACTATGTGCTAGAAACTCTGCTAAGATTTTTACCAATGTTGCTTCATTTACTCCTCTCAAGTTTTCATATATACATGTGTATATATATATGTGTGTGTGATATATATGCATACATATATGTATATACATACACACACATATATGCACACACATATGTATGCACATATATGCACATACATTATATATATATCACTATCTCTACTTCAGGGATGAAGAAAGATTCAAAAATGATAGGTTAGTTTTCAAAGGTTCATTTTCATTCAACTCTTGGAACCCATTTGAAACAATAATCAGATGAACTCACAGGTGAACTGACACTATATATAATTGAGGAATTTGTTATGCTGGTTTTGTTATGGTTAAACAATCACGTGTGGGGCCGGGACTGTGGTGTAGTGGATAAAGCTGCTGTCTGCAGTTCTGGTATTCCATATGGTCACCAGTTTGAGTCCCGGCTACTCCACTTCCCATCTAGCTCTGTGCTATGGCCTGGGAAAGCAGTGGAGGATGGCCCAAGTCCTTGGGCCCCTGTAACCACGTGGGAGACTCAGAGGAAGCTCCTGGCTCCTGGCTTCAGATTGGCACAGCTCTGACAGTTGCGGATATTTTACTTGCAATTGTAAAGACTAGGTAACTACTAATATTAACCTAGTGGATGAAGAAAGGATCACAGGTCAAAGAGACAATAGACTCTCTGGGTAGGCAGAAATGAAATTATCATTTTCATAGCACCAATTGCAAAGAAAGCTCTAATAGTTAACATAAGCTTTGGGGATGTATACAATTATTAAAGCAATAAAGACTTCAGTATTAGAGTTGATTTTTATTCTAATTCCTGACAGGTATGCTATCTTCTCTATGTTGCCTAATGTCTCCACTTTTGTTGTTTATATAATTGCACATAAAATATAATTCAAATTTTCTGTGTTGACCTCATATATCCTCTTTCCTATCATTCCTTTCCACTGCACCCAGAACAGCATAATTGGTAGACCAATGTAGTAAAAGGCAGAGTGCTTTTTTTTAAGAAAGCTTTTATTTAATGAATACAAATTCCACAGATACTACTTCCCCCCATACCCACCCTCCCACCCCCACTCTGTCCCCTAACCCAACTTCAATCCCACCTCCTACTCCCTCTCTCATCCCATTCTTCATTAAGATTCATTTTTAATTATCTTCATATACAGAAGAGCAACTCTATACTAGGTAAAGATTTCAACAATTTGCACACACACACACAAAGTATAAAGTACTGTTTGAGAACACGTTTTACAGTTAATTCTCATAGTACAACTCTTTAAGGACAGAGGTCCTACATAGGGAGTAAGTGCACTGTGACTCCTGTTGTTGATTTAACAATTAACACTCTTATTTATGACATCAGTGATCACCCAAGGCTGTTGACATGAGCTGCCAAGGCTATGGAAGCCTTCTGAGTCCAAAATCTCTGTCAGTATTTAAACATGGCCATAAGCAAAGTGGAAATTCTCTCCTCCCTTCAGAGAAAAGAACATCCTTCTTTGATGACCCCTTATTGCCACTCGGGTCTCACTCACAGAGATCCTTCATGTAGAACATTTTTTACCACAGTGTCTTGGTTGAATTCTTTATTTAACATGGAATTAATCATAGATGTATAAAGTCAATTGAAAATAGATCCCAGCAAAAAAGAAGTGTGGTAATAAGAGAGGGAGGAGCTATACAGTTTGGCACACATTCCCACAGACTTATCCCCAGGGTAAAGCTAAAAACTTGCCATGGGACTCCAAATCCCATTAAGCAGGGTGGGTACTAATGCCATCTTACGTGTTAAAGTGATCATATTAAGTTTGTAATTGATCATATAGGTAGGATTAAGTGTCAGAGTGATCACATAAATAAGACCATGTGTCTGGTAATACCAATAGAGAGAATCAAAAAGGAGAGAATGTTTCAACATGGGATGCAGTCCACACAGCAGATTCATAGAATGACAAATGCTATAAACAGCACTCTGATCGCAAATTCATCCTTTAAGGCATTCAGATCTGGCTGGAAAGCCCACGACAGCATTTCAGGATGGAAAGCCAAGACACTGTGGCAGAGTGCTTTTAATGGAGACAGATTGGAACTAGAGAATTAAGAAGCTAATAAAGTCTTTGAAGTCAATAATGCAGGCCTAACCTAAAGTTGTGGAAGTGATGGGTGAGTGAGTGGATCAGCCCACAAAAGAATTCTAGGAGTCAAATTTGATGATACCAGGAAACTTGACTCCATACCTGTGTAAATCAACCATGCACTTTTATATAGCAACCAGAGGAAATTCTACTACGGGTCCATCTCCTATTGTGCTATAGTAGCATCAAGGAAAATACTTGCCCTTCACTTGGCCATTACTACTCACTCTGTCAAGAGCCAGAATCCTTGAATTGTCTCTCCAGAAGTCTTAGCTATGTGGCCTTTCAAGTCTTCCATGGCAGTCTCAATGGCACCTGGCTGAGTGGAAAGAAGACAACACATAGTTAAGAGAATATATAGCCCTATTCAAATGTGATCAGTTAGTATATTACAGAAGCTCCTCCAGAAAGCTAATCAGGAAAGATACAATTCTTTTTTCTCTCAAAATATTTTATTTATTTTTTGAGAGGTAGAGTTACAGACAGAGAGAGGGAGGGACAGAGAGAAAGGTCTTCCATCCACTGGTTTACTCCCCAAATGGCTGCAATGGCAGGGGCTGGATGGATCCAAAGGCAGGAGATAAGACCTTCTTCTGGGTTTCCCACATGGGTGCAGGAGTCCAAGGACCTGGGCCATCTTCTACTGCCTTCTCAGGACATAATCTGAGAGCTGGATCAGAAGAGGAGCAGACACAATCCAGTGTCCATATGGGATGCCAGTGCCACAGACAGAAGCTTAGCCTACCACGCCACAGTGTCAGCCCCCAAGACATAGAAAACTTAGTCTTGAACTCTGTTACTTACCAACGTGCTTTCTTGGGTGGAGCAAAATTGATGCAAATCCTGACTCCTATAACCTTACTCATACCTTTTCATAGAAATGAAGACAGCCATTTTTCAGAGCACTAAATTCACCAAGAAACATATTTATCAGGAAGTTCAAAACATTTAATAATTGTGCATTTTCCAATCAATCTTTTTCTCTCTTCAGAAAGTGCATGCCATTAAAATACAGAATAATAGCCTTCCAATTTTCTAGATGTAAATATAAACTGGAAAATGAGCACTTCCTGTTTCTCCACCTCACTTTCTTCATTCTTCCCCTACTTATGGGCCGAGCTCAAGGATACCCATCGATACCCATCCCAGTAAGTTTATAGACGTTATATTTCAATGACTCTTACAGTGCCATGCACATCAGAGTCATCTGAAATATGTGTTAAAGCAGATTTGTGTTACCATTGTCTGAGTTTCTGATTCTAGGATGAAAGCTGAGATTTTTTTTATTTCTAACAACTTCCTGGCTGAAGCTGTTGGTGTGGGGCTGGTACTATGGGAAATATTGCTCTCTAAATAGCTGTTCACAACCTGAGCTGCACATTAGAAACACTAGGGAGTTTTAAAAAACCTGAACATGCAGTCTGTGTAGCAAATTGAAACCTAGTGAATGACACTCACATTTCAATACATCAGGAATTTTTTTTTTCCAAAAGGGGCCAGCGCTCTGGCATAACGGGTAAAGCTGCTGCCTGCAGTGCCAGCATCCCATAGGGGTGCCAGTTCAAGTCCTGGCTACTCTACTTCCAATCCAGCTCTCTTCTGTGGCCTGGGAAAGCAGTGGAGGATGGCCCAAGTGCTTGGGTCCCTGTACCTGTGTGGGAGACCCAGAGGAGGCTCCTGGCTCTTGGCTACAGATCGGCTCTGCTCTGGCCATTGTGGCCAACTGGGGAGTGAACCAGCGGATAGAAGACCTCTCTTTCTTTCTGTCACTTCTTTTCTCTCTGTGTAACTCTGACTTTCAAATAAATAAATAAATCTTAAAAAAAAAAAAAAAAGAATTCTTAAGGTATCTTAGATTGTCCCATGGGTAGCAAAGTTTGAGAACTACCACAGTCCAGGGTTTATGTAGTCTAAGTCATTTCATTTTGTCAATGAGGAAACCAGTTACTATAGGAAGTAACTTGACAAGTTCACTTAACTAAGTAGTGTCAGAGATGGAAACAGAAACCCCTTTCACTTTCTGACTACACTAATAACAGACAGATTGCAAGATCTCATATATTCTCCGTATACTAGTACCTTAATGCCAACACCTAACTTGCTATAAAAACTAACATTTGTATTCCTCCCAGTGGGAGCTAGTCTCTCACAAAAGAGAACAAGGACAGTATCCTGGCAAGGACTCATTCAAAGGCCACTTTTTCCCAGGGGCTGGGTGGTTGTAGGATTTTTGTTTGCTTGCTTCTCAATCTGTGATAAAAGGCTTTGAAAGATTTTGGTCACATTGTCCATAAGAAAAATCTTATACAGGACTCCTTATAATACACACTCAGATAGAACGGGGCTGCTTCAAATCAAGTGAGGGCAAATGGAAAAGAGCTTAGCTACTTAGCTCTCACCCTTCAGTTCATTCCAGGAAATGGATAGGACAACTTCCAAGCAAGGTGGAATGACCTGGGTGCATATTCCACATCTATCATGAATTCATTTTGAAACATCCTGGGCCTCTATTTCCATATTAATAGGACAATTGACTGATCTAAACCAAAACTTCCTGAGACAAGTCGATAACCAAAATGTCCTGAAAATCAAGGAAATATGATCATAGCACCAAGAGATTCTGAGTCTGTCCTTCCAACAAGTTTCCTGTTGAGTTGGATTGTGGGCCAGCAGATTAAATGATTGCTGATACTGTCATCCTCTGCTGCTGATGAAAGAGTTGTCAGTAAGCTGAGGAGACACTGCATGCCTGCTGAAGCCTGTGGGTCATGAAATTAGAACTTCTGGCATATCAATCAAATACATTTGAACTTCTGCTACAGAGAAGGGTGTACCAATATCATTCATTTCCAATCCCCTGCCTGTGGGGCTAGAGTACCCCAGAGGGAAATTCCTTGCGATCCCATGACAATTGTCCCCTCACCTAACCTCATTTCCTTGTCAATTTGACTCTACCAGGCACACTGGTCAAAGTCCTCTAAAAATAATGTTTTCTTGCATGACTCAACATGAATCTTTTTTGTCTCTCTGTTCCTGTATTCACATACTTCTGGCATCAACAAATATAACTCAGTAATGAGACCCATACTTTGTTAATATGAAATTATTTAACATATATTATCAAATAAAAGAAAAAAATAATTGGAATAGAGAAAAAGTATGTCATCTTCTGTGTAAAAAGGGGTTGGGGAGGATAAGAATAAATACCAATGCTTGCTTGGGTCTGCCTAAACTGATTCTAGAAGGATGTATAGAAACTATTCATAGTGATTGCCTATAGTTGGGGAAGGAAGGTGATGGAAATAGAGGGTGGAGGTGATATTTTACTGCAGCTTTTTCGAAAACTTAAATGCTGAAAATAAAATGTGTTTTTCACAGAACGGAATGATAACCTCTGGAACTCCATCAGTGTTCCTATGGGGCTCTTCTTACTTACAGTAGAAACATTGATTAAGCCCTTACAGAATGTAGAGAAGAAATCTACCTCAGTGGAGAATTTTACTCTCTTCCATTTTATTATCATTGCTTACTATAACAAATTAACTTTAGCCACTGAGTGTCAAAAATAAAAAGTGTGCAGATACTTTGACTTGTGTTTGGGACATCAAGGTTCAAACCTCAGGCTTTTTCATGGCTGCAGGATTGATAGTAAGTTATCAATTCATTATGTATCAATTTGCTCATTTGTTAGATGAATAAGATGGTAATATCAATAACAGAGCTATTGTCAGATGCCATGAAACACTGTGTTGAAAATATTATTTATTATATTTATATTTATCTATATTACATTTACTTTATTTTTATATTTATTTATAATTATTTAATATTTTATGTTTATTTATATTATATTTATCATTATTTATTATCATTCTCAGTATTGCTAACATTAAATTGGGGGGAAATAGTCATACCAAATTGGGGGGATCAAATAATTACTGTAATTGAATCATTAGCTCTGAGATTCCTTGCAGCCTAAGACAAATAGGAGAACATTATGAAATAATATGTCCACATATCGTGACATAGAATAAGGGAATATGGAGTCTTAAAGTATAGCATTAAATTGTTTCTGGCAATTCAAACTACTGAAGGAATGTCTTTCTTTAATATATTTTTAAAATAGTAATTTTTCATTTTTAAATGTATTTTAAGGGCAGAGAAAAAGAAAAAGACAGTCAGAGGGAGATATTTCATCCACCAGTTCACTCCTTAAATGCCCACAACAACCAAGACTGGGTCAAGCCAAAGTCAAAAGCTGGAAACTCAATCCAGGTTTCTGGTGTGAGTGGCAGAAAAACTCAACTACTTCGGCCATCATTTGCTACATCCCAGGGTGCACATCAGCAGGAAGCTAGAATTAGGAATAGACTGGGATTCAAACCCAGACAATTTGATATGGGATATGGGTGTCTCGAATGACATCTTAACTGTTGCACCAAATACTCTGACCCGCTGGAAATTCAAAGACATGTGTGTCTACTTCCTTGAACTTTCTTGAGCTAGACCAGCACAGGGTCACTTGTCATAAAAACAATACCCATGTCCTTGCTAGTTTTTACCAAGTAGTGAGCTCCTTAGAAAGATGGTAAAAGGAAGGAGAGAGATAGAAAACAATGTCCCCAGACACTCAGCTCTCTGTCACAGCCAGGCTGGATTGCTTTGCAATGAACATGTAAGTTGAGAAAGTCAGCTCTACATCAGATTCGATTTGTAAAGTCCAAGCAAATGTGCCTTTCCCTGAAAATGAAGAGAATGCATCTTGTCACATTATTGTTCAGAGTCAGCTGTTACAAAGAAAAACCATCTTTATCACTTCAGCATAAAGAAGGAAGTTGAGAAGCCTTTTGACTGGTGAGATATCTATTTTCTATACTAAAAAAAAAGCTCACGCAGGGTATAACAATGGAACTAATAAATGTAGTTGTCCCCAGTGCAAGAGCAAGACACGGGGAACCCTATAGCAAGAGAAGAGGGAAAGGGAGAGAGTATGAAAGCCAAATTAGTGTCATGGAAGCAATGACAACTTGCTACACAATGGGAAGTCTTGAACCTGCTTATTAAAGTCTCGTTGCTCACAATAGAACACAGGCTATAAAAAGGCCATGGGGAACCATTAATTAAATATTAAAAGATCAAATAGCTTTAGTCCCATTAGTTTGTATGTAATTTACATTCTCAAGTATAAATTTAGAGATAATTCCCTATCCTGAATCTCTTTCAACTTTTTGATAAGGTATCTGCAAATATAGAGTCCTACAGGGAGTTTAAAAATATCTTTCCCCATGTGGATTAAGTATTGTTCCTTTCATGAGAAGT